AGCTTTTGTAATTATCCACCAATTTCTTAGAATTAAACACTATCTACTGATTTGCATCGAAGCGTTTCTTATGATAGTGATTTTAATCACTGTCAGATTAAATCTATACTGGACCCAACTATGCAACGTCCCCACTATGCCGCGACTCCACTGTGCTGGGTTTTTTTTCCTATAATTTAAATGCACAGAAATTAATATTATATATTTCAATTTATTTATTCATAAATTAACAAATTAAATTTTCAGGGGAAGTACAAATTAAAATATAAAGCCATTTCTATTTGTAATGAAACTATTGATTATCCACTGAAATTTAAATACTATTTGTCAAAAGCTTCTACATCAAAAGTAGTTTTAATGGGAAATGTCACATTGAAGATTCCATTTGATGACAATTTAAATGTATGACGTCCATAAATTATTAAATATTATTAAGAATTCTTTTTTTTCTCACCTAAATTTCAACTACTTGGGGTCAGCCCCACCCTTATCCTAAACTTCCACTGCACACGATCTCCCACATCATCTACGCTCACGTCAGCTGTCCTCATATCGCATTCAATTACATCCTTCATCTCTTTTTTGATTTTCCTCTACCTCTTTTTCCTTCAAGGCACTATATAGGGTGGAACTGATTTAACTGACTACTCATATGACTTATGATTTACATAACATTTTATACTTTTTTTGAAACCAATTTTATAATAAAATATATTATATTTAAATACACATTCTTAAAATGTTATTTTTCGCAATTACAAAAATTAATTTAAAAAATAACTTTTGTAATACATTTTTTTTAAGTATTGATGAAAGCCATTTTATAGATAAATTTTAAAGAAACATTTTGATGCCACAAACTTGACGTAATATGACCGATGGTTTGCATTTCGCATCTCGCATTAATCAATACAGAATTTATAATCTGTGTTTTATATTACATGTATACAAACAAACAATTTATTTAACTGTCATAACATTTACACTGTTGCACACTAGCTATTATACACATCTTCTTCTTCTTCTTCTTCCTCGCCTTAATACCAACTACTTGAGGTCGGCCAACCTTATCCTAAACTTCCAATTGAAACGATCTCTTTCTTCCTCTACGCTCAAATCAGCGGTCTTCATATCGCATTCAATAACATCTCCCCATCTATCTTTTGGTCTTCCACTATCTCTTCTTCCTTCAACATTTATTGCTATAACTGTTCTTACGGCTTCCGATTCTTCTCTCCTCATAACATGACCAAATCATCTAAGTTTATTTTCTCTCAACTTATCCACGATTAACGCTACACCTATACTCCCTCTTATATGCTCATTCCTTATCCTATCTTCTCTAGTCACTCCACTAGCCTTTGATTAATTTCCACCTTATTTTCTTGTATTAACACAATATCGCCAGCAAACAACATGTACCGCGGCACCTCTCCTTGTATATCTCTAGTAATTTCATCCATCACTATAGAAAGTAAGTAAGGGCTTAAAGCAGAACCATGGTGCACTCCTACTCTTAACCGAAAACCTTTTGTTTCTCCTCCTCCGCTTTTTACACTAGTACAAGTGCCATCATACATAGCTTCTATTATTTTAATGTACCTTTTCGGGACTCTTTTTCTCATTAATGCCCACTTTAAAACCTCTCGCGGTACTCTATCATACACTTTCTCCAAATCTATAAATATAATACACAGCTTTTTCTTCTTTTCCCTAATTTTTTCTATTAGTTGCCTCACACAAAATACTGGCTCCATTGTTTACTTATCAGGCATAAATCCAAACTGGTTTTAAAATACCGATGTCTCATTTCTTATTCTCTAATGTATTTCCTTTTCCCAAATTTTCATACTATGACTCATAAGCTTTATGCCTCTATAATTTCCACACTCATGTATGTCACCTTTACCTTTAAATATCGACACCACTATACTATTCTTCCATTAATTTGGAATATTCCCTTCTAATAAGATTTTATTTAAAAGTTCCTTCAACCACATTATGCCAACACCGCCTAATATTTTTCATATTTCTATTGACCCTTCATCTGGTCCTACTGCTTTATTCTTTTTCGTTGATGCCACAGCCTCCCATACCTCTTTCTCACTAATCAAATCTAACAGTTCCTCATTCCACGAGATATCATCTAATGTTTCTTTTGGGTACTCCTAATTCAATAATTTTTCAAAATACTCTTTCCACCTTTTTTTCACATCATCATCATCATTGAGAGTACCTTATTATCAACACTTTTTATACACCTTATATAATGATAATCTTTAGACTTTTTCTGTCTTACTTTTGCAAGTCTATAAAATTCTTTCTCGCCTTCCTTTGTTCCTAGCCTATTATACAACTTATCATACCTCTTAAACTTCGTCTTTCTTACTGCACACTTGGCTTCTTTGCACAAGCGTTTATACTTCATCCAATCGTCCCTCCTTTTGCTCTTTTGCCATAATTTGAATTGCTTTTTTTTTTAATTTTATGATTTTTTGAACGTCGTCATCCCACCACAAGGTTTCCTTGTTTGCTGGAATTCTACTCCTACTCTCACCAACAATCTCCTTTGCATTATTATTTACATAACAAGCGAATCTATTCCACGTATCATTAAGTATCTCTTGACATTCCACACCGTCCTCTCTTTTACCGCCTTTACAAACTCTTTTTCATTTTCCCCTTTCAATTTCCACCACCGGATCTTCGATTTTTCCCAGTGTTCTTTCTATTTTTGTATATTCTCCCTCCGGTACACCACAACTCCATTACCATCAGTCTATGTTATGTAGATACACTCTCGCCTGGTATAACTTTACAATCTTTTACTCGCTTTACGCTCTCTCTCTTCCACATAAAATAATCAATTTGTGATCTATTCCTCCCACTCATATAAGTTATATAATGTTCTTCCCTCTTTTTAAAATAAGTATTAACACAGCAAGATCATACGATACTGCGAAATCCAGGATTAAATATTATTTACTCCCTTGTATATTTCATCGCATCCTACTTGTAGTTCATAGGTACTTATTATGTTCAGCACTTTTTCTTCGAATATGAATTTTATGACTATAATTCTGTCACTTTTCCTAGCTACTTCTACTACTTTATTTTTCATCTCCTCATCCATTAATATCCCTACATCATTCTTTGTACTAGACTTACCTGAGTATATTATTTTATAACCCTCACCTATTTTCCTCGAATTCTCTCCATTTGACTTCGTTTCATGCATACAACAAATGTTAACTTTTCTCCTCTTCAATACTTCTACTAATCCTCTACTTCTATCAGTTAATGTTCCAACATTCCAAGTACCTATTCTTACTTTTTATCTATCTTTCTTCTTTATACACAAGTCTAGACTAGAGTTAAGTGGTGATGTCCCTACACCATTGGCACTACAAGCATTGGGTAGACCTTTACACATAACTAGTGAAACAGCTACCGCACAAGTTGTCCAGCTGGCATCAAACACTTTATTCCTTAGGCCTTCTCCGTTTTTAACAACTTTATTCCCTCTCGCCTGTTGTCTCCACGTACATGATGTGACAATTCACCTAAGTTTTGTTCAGGACACCTCATACTATTTGACAAAAATTTTACGCCGGCTGACGACCCGACACAACCTCATTAGTCGCCTCTTACGTCTGACAGAGGGGCCGTGGAAGTATTCTCATCTCCTATCCACAGGGAAAAAATTATTTCATTAAATATTATTAAAAATCATATAATTATTTCTGTTTTTAAAGATTGGCATGAACTTAGCGGTATGGTCGAAAATTGGAGGCTGGAAAGATAATTCATGTATATACCAAAATAAAGGAGCTTGTTCATCACTAAAATTTCTTATGGGAAAAGTGTGGAATGAATACATTGAGAAGCATAATTTTACAAATTGTCCAATTCAACCGGTTGGTTTTTTTATTTATATATTTAAATGATGTAGTGAAATTTGATTTGGTAACAATTAATTTAAAAATATTTTAGGGTTTTTATAAAAGTAGTGGTTTTGACTTATCACTTTTGGACCATGCCAATATTCCGAAAGAATTTTTCTACGGGACTTACAAACAAAAGATATTTTTCTTAAATGAAAAGAATGATCAAGTTGGTTGTTTTTATATCGCATTCGATTTATTACGTCCATGGGAATAAAAGCGTTTTTAATTTTACAATCAGTTTAATTTATTTATTTTGTTACTTTTTGACAAAATTAGACCTAATGAATACCTTTGTTATTTTTTTAATGTATTATATTGCCTACTAAACCAGATTTGTAATGTAATAAACAATTGAAAAACGTGTTATAGTAATTTTGGTCATAATATAATTTAAAATGTTGATAGTAAGGATAAATTTATCTATTTTAAAAGTATTAATACGCCATTATATTTATGTATTATCTCGTGTTCATTCAATTTTTTGTTCAGAATAACAATTTACTAATAAATAAGAATAGATGATCGCAAAAACTAATGTTAAGACTCAATTTTTTGAGAAAAAATTAATTTGAAAAAAAAAAAAAATTTTAAATTAGTTTCCAAGTAATAGTTTTTTTTTTTTTTTGAGATATTAGCATTTATAGATTTAAAAAATATGAGAAGCGTGTTGGTGAAAATATATTTATCTAATTCCATTATTTTTAATTTGTTCTTAAACAAGTAGGAATTTGATAAAAATTTCAATTTAGTAAAAATGAATAAATAGTTTTAAAAGATTTGTAAGTTCCTATAGAAACTGAAATTCTAAAAATAATTTAAAATTCTGCCAATAGTCTTCAAATTTTGTTTAAGATCAACAAAAAGTGAAATTTACCTTTTTAAATATAATAATTTTATTTTTAAACCTAATAATAAAACTTTGATTTATGGCTTATCATCTATTATATATATCCTAAAAGATAATGATAATTCCATTTAAATTATTTAAATTAGAAATAAAAAAATTAATAATGACATTTTTAATATTAAAAATTAGGGTTATTTTGAAATAGATGAAGATATAATAATTTTTTAATAAAATAGGAATTAGAATAACATAAACCAGCAGATTGTAAATTGTTATCTTCCAGTAATAAAAAAATCTGCTGTTGGGTGATTACTAATAATTTCATTAATAAAATTTTAACATTTATCATTAACATTAATATTAGAATAATTAAGTATACAAACTAAACTGACACGTTAATAAATCACATACCAAGTCATAATCTAAATGAGGTAGAGATATTGTTGCTGTCTGTAGTAATTTGTTACCTAAACCCGTTACCATTATTAAAAATACTATTGAACATCTATTTATAACATTATAATTTATATCGACTTAATCTATATTAAATAAAAATTTAGACGTAAATTTTGTCCCTATGTGTTCCCTACATTTAGAATATTAACATTGAAAATTTTTATCAGCTTATATAGTCATATTTCTCCTAAAGATAGCATCATGTTATCGTTAGCAAGTCGACAACGTGTGGACCTAACATGTGTATGAAAATAAACCCACATTATCTAATAACAATTTTTGAATTTTTTTCAGTATTAATTAATTTATTTTGTTACTTTCTGACACAATAATACCTAATGAAGTAACTTATTTATTTAAAAATATCAAATATTACAAACTTTTAAAACACTATTGCAAAAGAAATTTGTTATCTTGTCGATGGGACATATTTCCTATTAAACCAAATTTTTATTATAATAAATAATTTTATTATATACAATTATATATATATATATATATTCTTTAAATTACTAAGAACGTATTTGTATTTTTTGTACTGAACCACAAAATGTTATCTAGTAAACATTCATAAATTTTAAATTGAAGGAATTATTTTATACATAAAATAGTTCTTTAAATGTAAATATATGATATCATTTAAAAAAATATTTGTCGAGTTTCTCTCAATCACTTTTAATTATTGAATTTATATTTTATTAAAATAATATGTAAAATAAATTAAACATATGAAAAATATAACAAATTATATTAGGTTTATTTATTAACAAAAAATCATAGAAAATTAAGAATTTAGAACAAAAAAAATGTTATATCAGTAAAAACAATATTAAAATACGAATCAAAATGTATCACAGTAACAAAAAGAAAATATTACAATTCTATTAAATTAAATAATACTAAAATGTGGGAACAGTAACATTAGGAACTAAAAATCAACAAGATCAATTAATATTTTGAAATAAATAAATTTTATAAACGTCCCAGATGGTAATTTTATTGAAGAAAAAAATTAGATGCCTACTAGGCCAATGTAATTATTGCATTCGTTTAAGAGTTTTTTTTTATTACGAGATAGTAAAAGAAATATTTTTTTAAGTATTGAGAACTATTAAAATAAAATTTTTAGTAACGTTTAATCGAACAGAAGAAATTTTCATCTATAATGTATCCGTGATATTAAGAATTATATAAATTTTCAACACTTTTAGTCCATTTAAAATGAACTGGAGGTAATATTAATCTAGTAGGCTGTAATTTTAATTTATTTGTAGGCTGTAATAATTGATTTCTTTGGACTTTCTACGATATTAGTTGACATTACATAGTTTTTCTCTGAAAGAGTCAGATTATAGAGGTCTAAAATCATGTCAATGTCCATCTCTATTTCTTCTGTGACCACTTCCATTGGTACAACTTTATCAGTTTCTACCAATTTTGGAGGATCACAATCCATTTTTTCATTTAAAACACAACGTTGCCGACGAATATAATCACCGTAGACCCCTTTCAAAATACATTTCAAATTTTCAATGGCAGACATATTTTTCTGTTGCGTCGATTCGAAATATTTTTTGTGACTAACACGGGGCAATTTCGGTATAAATTCCATTTGATAAGAAACGTCAGGTAAATTAGAAAAGCCAATATTACTGTGTCTTAAACCTGAATAAATTTAATTAATTTAAGTTATCGAGTGTTAAACATTTTTTTTTACTTTTAATATGCTCGAAAAATAAATTACACGTTTAAAAAATAGTGTTCTAGCTTAATTAAGATTGGTTTCATAGAAGTTTTCATGTATTAAAAATTATTAGGTATAGTCAGTCAGTTAAATAAATGTTTTATTCTACATCTATAAATCTAACAAAATAGAATTCGCTGGACCACAAAAGACTAATAAGTTTTAAATATTAATGGGTAGTACCGGTGCATAATTATTTCATTCTATTCAAATTATTTAAATATAATTTAAATCAACTAACCTTTTTGTCTTCTAGGCATGGTATACGGGTGATGAATGATTTTATTCATCTTGAAAAATACAAGAACTTTTTTAATAAACTATATATTTTTAAAAGATCACTTAGATATAGAAAGTTTTCAAACGATTCGAAATTTTGGTCTTAAATTTATTTATCTAAAGAGCGTAAATTATTCAACTAACGAAGTCAGAGAACTAACTGGATTTATTTAGTTTCCAAATGTTTATTTACAAAATTTTAAATAACATATTACTAGGTAACAAAATTAACTTGATCATTTATTTTTACATATAGTTTTAACTTAGACAAATAAATATTATTTTACTAAACTTATTAAATACTGTATAATAATTAAAAACCCATGTTACAATTTTAACATTCAAATTCGTAATTCATTAGCACAATTTAAAGTTGAAGACTTAAATATTATTTATGATAATTTTATTTTGTACAACTAAAAATCAACTTTTTCATAGTTAAATAACAATAAAGCAATACAAATATTTAAAAAGAAAAATTAACTTGATAACTCTCTTAATATCCTATTTTTGTGTTAAAATTCTTCTTTTTGTATTTTATTTTGTTTTAAAATACCTTAAAAGTACACTGATTTTTATAAACATCATATAAATTTAATTCACATAGCATATGAAGTTAAACTTATTAAAAATTATTTGCTCTTTTTAAGAGAAAAATAACTTTGAAATTGGAACTAACTTATATTACCAAAAATTGTGACGTACGGTATCCGATTCGGTGACACTTAAATATTTCATTTTTGGGGTAAGAGGTTCGAACCCACTTGTAGTAATGAATATTTTTGTATTTATTTATTAAAATTAGAATGATAAAGATTTATGATTAAATTGAGTGCATTATAATATAACTAAACAGTTTTTTATTTAATTTTTTTGTTTGAAAATAAATATGTTCTTTTAAGAATATAAATATAATGCATAAATCGAAGTGTTAATTTTAAGTGAAATAGGTTAATTAAGAGACCATTATTGTGGTCAGGAATAGGGTAGCGTACTATTATCCCTCATGTTATGGCAGTAAGTATATTACGACAATATACTTGTCTCAACTATGCTACCTATCCTTTTTTTTTTATATTTAAATACTCTTTTTAATTATATCATATTCATATTGCGAAAGACACTCCTGTCTGCATAAAAGCATTTATGTCTTTGCATGGTATTTCTGCGAAACGCGTATTAACTCTCAAGGAATCGTTATCAACCACGGGAAACATACCTATAGATAAAAGCAGAAAACATAAAAATCGTCCCAGAAAACTTTCAGATGAAATTCTTAACGAAGTAGATGATCTTCTAAAATCGTTGAAAGTCTCACTATTCTTTAATAGATTCTAATAAAACATATTTACCTGAGACTCTTAACATAAAAAAAATAAAGTTAAAGCATTTATAAGTTAAAAGTTAAGTTGAAAAAGTTAGTTTTTGTAAGAAAGTTGCTATTTTAAATCCCCTCTGTGAGCAGAATAAGTGTTAGATTTTCAAAAAAAATGATATAAAATGAAAGGGAAATATTTAAGGTTTCAATATAAAAAAATATTATTTTGATTTGTTAATATTTGAAAAATTTATGACAATTATAAGTACAAAAAACATCCCGATATAAGGTGATTTTTATCGCAAATATTACATTTTTTTTTTAATTTCGACAGCCATTTGCACATAGAAGATAAGGTGTCACGACAAATTTTTTTTTTCATTTTACAGTACATAAAATAAGCTTTAANAAATTTTTTTTTTTCATTTTATAGTACATAAAATAAGCTTTAATTTTATATATGTTTAAAGGACGCAGTATTTCCGGAACATTTTCAAAAATTAAGTTGAAAAAGTTAGTTTTTGTAAAAAGTTGCTATTTTAATTCCCCCCCAGTGAGCAGGTTAAGTGTTAAATTTTCAAAAAAATGATATAAAATGAAAGGGAAATATCTAAGGTTTTAGTATAAAAAATTATGTTGATTTGTTGATTTTTGAAAAATTTATGGAAGTTTTAATGTTTG